CCCCAGGTAAGGAGCCTCCGTGAGGAGTCAAGCACCAAGGCCAGGCCTGCTGGGTGCCCAGGGGAGAAGAAGAAGAAAGGCGTTTGAGCGGGGAGGCGAAGACGAGGAGAAGAAAATAAGGGAGGAGGTCAAGAGGGAAGAGGAGGGAGTGCTTGAAAGCAGGAGGGAGGGAGAAATATGGTGGGAGGCAAAGGATAGATGTGAATGAGTGAGAGAGGAGAGAAGTAATGACAGAAGGATTAAAGGAGGAGGAGTGTGACTGAGGGGAGAAGATGTGGTGGGGGCGAAAAGACAGAATAAAGGAATAAGAGCGAGGCAGAGCAAGTGAAAATACAGGATTAATCATGTGTTTGTGGCAGTATGGTATACATACATGTTTGCACATACTTCTGTGTGTGTGTGTTCATGTGTGTGTGTGTGAGGCCTACTTGGAGCCAAAGCAGGGGCCTGGATTAGTTGCGTTTGCCAGGGCTGGGGGGCAGGATTAGCAGGCCGGGCTGCTGTCTGACGCCGCTCTGCCACCACTAATGGCATTATTAATAGGCAGCTAAAAAATTCATTAAAAAATCCATTAAAAATAAATGTGTTTTACATAAGACTTTGCCCCAGGTAGGAGGGATAGGGGGAGGCAGGGGTGAGAGATGGGTGCAGAAGGGAGAGACGAAATAGGCGACTGTTAGCTTTGAGGTCAGCTGAACATCACAGTTCAGAAAGAGGAGAGAAAATATACAAACACTCGCCTGACCGGAAATAATGTTGGATTTGGGATAATAAGGCTAAACCAAGAAATACTGACATTTCTGCTGCTCTGAGAAATTTGTGCAGAGCTGATGTCAAATATATGAGCATCGAGGTGCACGTTAAATACAGAGCTTTCAACTGCTTCTGTGTTCCTGTCAAACACAAACAAGAGGTTAAGCACAAAATACATATTGATTTCACATTTGTACACATGCATACTAACATAACACTTCTTCAAATTTTAAAGAACTGAAAAAAGTATAAAATACTTTGAAGATGCATTCAGTTCCTGATTGCTGCTGTTGTTCCAGTTTGGAGATTATTCCTCTCTTTTTTTCATCTACATAAAAGCAGGATAAACCTAAGTACATAGAAACAAGAAAACTCTTGAGGAATTGTTAAAAAAAAAACCCTGTAATTGGTGTTATTTCAATTGCCCTGTAATTGTAGAACTAGATGTTCACATTTAGTTTTTTCTGAGAGTGTCTTTTCTAAATATACCAGAAAATTTTTAAAGTCCAACATTTAAATCGCAATCACCACTAAGGAAACTCCCTTAACAAATACCCCCTAACAGATATTAAATTGTGCTTAGAATGTCAAGTAGAAAAATCAACATTTGGGGTGTGCAGTGTACATAAATATGTTTCAGTCATGCACATACTTGCATGTTATGATTAAGCTTCATTTTGGCACATGTTGAACACAACTTCCTGAATTTATTTTAATGGGAATTTTTTTAACTACAGTGTTTAAAGAGAAAATAATCTTTCTGACATAAGAAGAAAAACACCCACTCCAAAATATTATCTACATCAAGGATTTTAAACTGATTAGCCTCTTCAAATTAATGAAACGGTTGGGGTTTATTAACTCTGTGAGAGAGAGCAAAGAACGATGGGGAGAAGGAGGTTAAAGGTGAGGAGGTTCTGCTTTGTGTGTGCCTTGGGGACATTTAACTTAATCAGATTAACAACAATAGATGCATCTATCCACGCACACACACACTCACATACACATATATGGCAGTGGGCAGAGGGGCCTTACAACGTGCCCGGGGGGACCCTTGCTATAGCCTGAGGGAGTCATATATGCAGAAAGGGTCAAGAGGCGATTCAATTGTTTGAATTCTAACTCGCTTACATTTCTTAACACCTACACACACAGACACATGCAAACGCACACAGACATATGCATCGTGTGCAATAGAAGAATTTGAATGAACAGGCAAAAAGATGCTGTTTTCACAGCAATCACACAGATCCACTACCATCAGGTTGATCCGGCCCTCAGCCTGCAGCACAACAGACTCACAAAGGATAACACTCATCACCCCGCTGCTCTATCGCACTGTCAACACATGACAGCTGCCAGGTGAGAAGTTATCGCTGCATTGTAAATTTTTCAGGAAATATATAAAATTTTTATTTTGCTTAAATTTTATATGCATTGGTTAGCTACCATAAGAACAACAACAACAATAAAATTGATATGAAACTGCTGCGAGAAACTGGTGATGCAACAAAACTTGTGCCTTATAAGCTTTCTCCTCCCAACTGTACAACTTTCTGTAACCTGTAAATATTTAAACATTACTATGAGGCTGGTGTAATAGTTTACACCAACATAAACAGCCCAAAAATATGGATGTGTTGCATATTCTTTTCAGGGTAAAACATATATTCAATTTGATGTTTAAAAAATTCTGAAGTTCACAAATAACAAAATGCAACTCAAACTAATCAGTAAAATATGTTCTGCAGTAGAAGAAAAAGAAGAAGAAAAAGATTGGACATCTGATTGAATCACATTGAGACTCTAGATGGTCTATCCAGATATACTTATCATATATTTGGATATATGTTAACACATTTCATATAGGGGTATGCAGCATAACATGATAATGCTATATAAAACATGCAACAGATACCAACAACCACCATGACAAAGCTAAAATGTAAACTTTTAAGTTGCCTTATAATCCAAGAAACATTTAGTTTACTTTGTAGAGACTCTAAATTTCTTTTATGTTAGCCACTGAAGTGCATTCTGGCCTTCATTAATCTGCAGTAACTGTACGCTGCCAGTTTACTTTAGCTGGCATCCTCAGCCTCTGTTAGCCTCTGTTAGGTGCTGTTAGCCTCTGTTGGGTGCTGTTAGCATCTGTTACCCACAGTTTGCTAGTGAATTAAACATTACCTTACATAGTAAATAAACTCTCGTACAACATGAGAATGTAATCAAGCTTTTTATAGGAGGGAAAGTGTGATTTTTAGGATATTAACTTTGGCAGCTTATAACCAACTGTTGTTGTTGTTTAGCTAGCTCATTGTCATCTGTTCCAAGACAAGAAGGTTGCATATCTACACTGTAAAAAAGAATTGTAATATAAACGTATTTTACTGTGTATTTTACAGTTTTGTACTGTTCTTCTAGAATATCATTAAATTCACATAAATAGATTTTGATTTTACATTTCAAATGTAAATTAACGTAAAATCACTGTAAATGTAATAAAACATAATTTTCTTGTTTTTTTTAAATGTATCTGTCTGTACATATGCATATTTAGATTGTTAAATACATTCACTAATGCATCATAATTTCACAAATATTTGTCCATTATTTGAAAGATTGAACTGTTAAATTCAAATGTAATGCTATGAAAAAATATATAAAATGATTTGTATAAACTTTTTTACATCAAATAATTATTATTATTGTTGTTATTTAGGGCGATCGTGGCTCAAGAGTTGGCAGTTCACCTTGTAATCAGAAGGTTGCTGATTCGAGCCCTGGCTCGGACACTCTCGGTCGTTGTGTCCTTGGGCAAGACACTTCACCTACCACCTACTGGTGATGGCAGAGGGGAATTATAAAGTGGAATTGTAAAGCGCTTTGACGGTCTCATAAAGCGCTATATGAATGCAATCCATTATTATTTAAACCAACTGTTAACTGTATATTTTTGTACATTTAAGTATTATTATTCATATTGCTGCATTCATTGACCTTGTTTATAGGTAATTTCATTGTTTCATCACATTAAATTGTTCCTAATTTAATGTTTAAAAGCACTTGAAAAGGCAAAATCCCATGTAAAATTAGGGCAACAAACTGTATTGTCATTACTGAAAATAACCGTATTTTCATGGGAAAGTTATTTTCTGTTATTTTCTGGTATTATTTTGGCTGTTTTTTAGGATTTTTTTTTTTACGGTGTAATCTGCTGACAATAAGTAACTGCGACAATTAGAGCCCTGACATCTGTTCAGGAGATATGGCTTGAGGTGAAGAGAAAGAAGATGTTTTATTCAGGTACTGGTCATTTTGTCTCAATCCTGTGAGTTTTCTCCTCTTTGGTGAAGGGGACCTCTTGTCAGATGATAAAACATAGGTATGATCCTTCTCGCCTTCAGTATGAAGGTGCAGACGTGAATAAAAATTTGACTCCACGGCACTCTTAATCAAAATTAATCTTATTACTTATTACTAGTTAGCTTATATGTATCTGTGTTCCACGTGTGCATTTTCTTGATCGAATTAGACATTGTTTTGCTCCAAAAAACATGACGGTCTCAAAACACCAGCTCTGAAATCATGGCAGCTTCATCCATCTTTTGTACTGTTTATGGGAAGGATTTGTTTTTTGGAGCCAGCCTATCAAGGCCTCTTCTGGAAGAACTGCATTATTTGACTCTTTGGTGTTTGCTTCATGTAGTTTCACATTATGTATAAGAAGGCCATGCTATCAACAACATGACTACTCATTTGCTTAGTGGATGTAGACAGTAGAAAGAAAATAGTTCCTACCATGAACGCGCTTGCCACAAGGTCACGGCTAGTGGAAGAGGAATTGCTGCTAAGTTGATGTTTTAATGTTTTATGTTGTAAATATGTTTATTTATTGATTCATTTGCTCATGTTTTTATTTTTGGTACATACCGTGAGAAAGCAGACATTTCTACAGCCGAGAAATAATCCAACCTAAAAATCTTAACTGACTAATGGTAGGGGAAAATGACTGGCTCAAACACATCCGTGATGTTATTTTCTGAAGTTTCTGAAGCAGGATTTTACAGATCCACAATAGTAAGTTTCAAAGATTTTGAGCTACTTGGGGCTAGAATTGAACTTGGACTCCTCCTCCTGCATCATCAGCCTTCCTCCAGTGCTTGTTGGGTAGATATGAGGTGATTAAGAGTATGTCAGCAGAGGGAATCTGAATCTGAGCCGGAAAAAAGCAAAACGCAACTTACCAAATTTGGCCAAGGAAGAGCAGAAAGTAAAAGGCAGGAAAGAGCACCTCCCGCTGTGCAGAGAAAAAGACAGCAAAAAGTCAGCAACATTCACACTCAAAGCAAACATCAAACATCATCAAACACACAGAATGAGACACTTTGATCTCCCTGGCTCCACAGGAAGCCAGCATCTTTAGAAAATCCTCCAAATGTAAATTAATTTACTACAGAAAGAGATCCCGAGGCGCTGGTGTGCAACTGAACATCAGACATCAGAGGGTTAAACCCAAACTCTGCAGCTCAGCCCACAGAGACACTTCAGCACTGGTAAGTAAATTTTAACCCTGAGCGATGCACGAAGGTCCCCACCAACAGCCAAACTGACATGCATGACCGAGTTTTACATTACTCCTGAGTCGATTGCGGAGCATATTGGGAATCTGTTTGTGTTAGGATCTCAGCTCATCATTACTTGTATCATAAAAAAACAGTTTTCCTCAGCAGATCTTGTTTCCAACAGAGGCCTTTCGTTTGATTGCCGAATGCTGGGTGAGAATTTAGGATGTGTAAGCAAACAGAAGATTTTTCTGCAGGCACTTAGCAAACATTTCAGTCACACCCTGAGATCAAGTTCTCTTGAGTTGGATGATGCTGTATTTCACGCCAAGAGTGCATTAATGGTTTTGCTTGTGCAACATTTGTCAGTCTGCAGTTTTCAGCTGCAAATACTCCTACACGATACATGAAACAAGCAAACATTTGTGCCAGTATCACATATTGCCAGGCAATTACTCAACATCTCTTTCTGTTCTAATCTTAGACTGTATATAAAAGATGGACAAATAACGTCTGTCTGAAAAGTGAGTTCACTTTTCAGACAGTGCATTCTTTTTCATGACCAGCAGAGAGCAGCTTCTATGATCGCAAAAAGAAATTTGACTGTGAAGTCTTTAATAACACCTCACCTCAGCACTATTGATCTATGACCTTAGCAAAAGCTTCCCTGGTGAGTTTCTGGTCCCATTTTCCTAGTTTTACCCTGTAGGAACATGCAGTGTCTCTAGGTTTCTCAGTCAGTCAGTCAGTCTCGTTGCTTGTCACATCCAGTCTCAAAATTATACAATGGTCACAACAAAGCGGGGTCAGTTTGAAAGAGAAATTGATGTTTTCTGACAAATGGTCACGGCAGAGAGGCTATAACCTTGAAGGAGAAATGTAGATCAGTCTTTGATTGCTTTGGGCTGATTCCCAGAACATTTTGATTTGATTTCATATCACACATGTTGTGAAACCAGGGTATGCTGACTCTGAAAACACCAAGTGGCATGTTTCTTCAAAACGGTGTTAAATTTACAGCACACAATAGGTCAGGTATAATCGGTCTAACATATATAACCCACCAGAGTTTGTTCCACTGCTGTTTCTGCAGTTATTGCAACCCCCACGCTCCTTCCACAAATAATAGACAATATGAAACAACATCTCATTACAAAGCCTCCCCAAAGAGGCACCTTGTCATTCTCCTCAACTTGTCAAACTCTCAAAGCTTGAAGTCAGTTTAGGAAATTTAAGATAAGCAAAAGGAAGTAAATAAGAAAATTAAATCTGGTGAGGAAAACAAAGACTGGAGTAAATAATGACAATTCGACAGTAAATAACTGAATGCGTCTTCTAACTCCCATACTGTGTGTGTGTGTGTGGTGATATTGTTTGAGATATATGCATGCACAGACAAAATTTGCTGTCATAAAAGTTTTAATATATGTGGAAGAACTTATGCAATTTAGTTCCATGGGTTTTGAGTAGAACAGATATTGGTAATACAGGCAGACCCTTGTTTGCGTGGGCTGATTGTGCCACAATCTGCTGCTACTGCCCGAGGCACTCGGTCCTGCATATAAAAGATCAATGTTGTTTCCAGGTCTGAAAAGTGCTTAATGCCTGCATTCCTTTTAACAACCAGCAGGAGGCGACTTATGTGGTTGCAAAATGAGCTTTTTTTGAAGAGTGTCTCGCTAACCGCTGATATGTAAGCAGACGCCGATTAATTGGCATCTTATTGTTTCTACATATTAATGCTGGCATTAAGTGACATAAAGTTTGTGTCTTTATGTTATCACTGTTAGAATCTAGTTTCAGAGGCACGAATGAGATGGTTTGTACATGTGCAGGGGAGGGATAATGGATCTACTGGGCAAGGCATGCTGAAAAGATATGGATGTCAGGCAAGAGGGAAAGAGGAAGACCACAGACAAGCTGAAAGAAGAGGAAGACTCTCAGAATCTAGTTAACAATCCAGCTAAAATTTGTTTGCTGAAGTCAAAATACAGCTCACATTTTATACCTTCTAAATTCATAATTACACACCTGAAGCAGACTGTGTTCTGTTTTTAGAGTCATTACTGCTGTTTGCACAAATCAGTAAGATCATGACTCTAAAACAGCTGAAAAGGGTCACAGACAACAGCATCACCCTATATCACATCGCATCCAGCATGATTTCATTCTTGACGTGCTGTCTAAACATCTGTCCTTCAGGTGAAAGTCAGGCATGAGCTTATCCTCTGCTGACTGGCATGCTTGTCTTTGCCCTGTCAGGGTAGAATAGCTGGTAAATGCGAGAGCAGGACTCTGTTTCTCTCTCCTATACCTCTCCTTCACACCGAAAGACACGCCGCGGCCCCTCTGCCCCTCCAACCTGCCTCGAGGTCCTATAATCTTTTTACAATGTGTTGAAACAGAGCAATAAATCTGTTAGCTTACAATCTAATTTCCCTGGCCTTTTCCAGAAATCCTCATAAACTTTTGGCGCCCCCATTAACGGCCCTATTGAATCAGAGCGCTTAATCTGCTTCCAGGTGAGGGGTCAGAAAATGAATGCTTTGAGATCCATCACGCTGACGGGAGCAGAGAAAACTGGGCGAGGGAGCACGCTGGGGAAAAGGGCAGCGTCTCTTCCTCATAGGTCAATAGCAGCCAAGAGAGTCAGTCATTCACTTTTTCCTTCAGCACCGCTCTCATTTTCCATTTAATATGGACATCCAATTAATGTGAGCATGTCTGAGGCTGCCTGGATCCCTATGAATTATGGCCCATCATCCCCCCAGTTATGGCTCGACAACCGAGAAGAGAGGAGACAAGAGCAGAGAAGAGGAAAGGAAAGGAAAGAAAAGGAAAATTAAAGGAGAAGAGAATTGTGAGAGGAATCAGGTGATCTTACACCCTGGCTCCAAAACAGCAACATATAGGAGACAATCAAGTATGCTTAAAAAGAAAAAGGTTATTTGATCTAAAATAAGAAATGAAGCAAACAAAGACGTAAAGTGTGATTATAGGCATCAATGCTGTTGTCCAGGCTTCCAAGTAGGAAGGAAATGTGGGAGGGGCTTGTTAGTTATTCTTATCAGGTGCCTGGGGGTCACATGATCATGTTGAGGGAGGGGGTATTCCAGAGTACCTGTAGAAGTCAACAATAAGCAAAAATACGAGGTGGAAACATGAAAAGGAAAGGAAATAAAAGTAAAGGAAATGAATGTTTAAAGAGTGGAAAGGGGAAAGAAAATGAGGAGAAAGGAAGCAAGAAGCAAGGGAAACAAATTTTGAGAGAGAAAAGACAGAGGGCATTTAAAGGAATGATCCAAAAGGAAAGTAAACAAGGAGAGAGGAGAGGAGAGGAGAGGAGAGGAGAGCCTTACAAGAATTAGAGATAATTGATTGGTGGGACAGAAACAGCTGCTTCTGATTGGCTGCCAAGAGGAAGAACCAGATTAGTTTTAATAGTGGTGTAACAGACACCTGAGCTGTGTGTGTGTGTGTGTGTGTGTGTGTGTGTGTGTGTGTGTGTGTGTGTGTGTGTCCATCCAAACAGCATTACACCAGGGCCTGTGATATTAAACCCGGACAGCAGCACCTTATTGTCGCAGCAACAGGGATTTGTCATTGTACCTCATTATCCAATTAACACCATATGGGCCTGAGGCCAAACATACACACATACACAAGCATGCACACACACACACACACACGCAATAGACTTTCACTGTATGTCTGTGTGTGTTAATGTGTGTGGGTTTCAACAAAGTTAAAATAGGAAATGTTGGAGGAAACTTTGAGCTCAGCTACTCGCTCCCAATACTTTGAGCATTCTTTCTCTTAGATTCATTACAGTGAAAGCAGACTGCTGATCATTAAGGCTGTTAGTTGTTTTAAAGATGGTTTGTTGAGGTCAGGTGTAGTATAGAGTCTCTTAAAGAAAAACAAACTTGAGAGAGAAGTGGAGGAAATACCGAAACTTTATACCTCCAGTGCTCTGATGATGGCTCTGTGCTAAAAACATGTTACTTTTAAAGCTTTTTCTTCAGTTTACTTGAAAATTGGATCATATTTAAATACATCTACAGTACATATACTTCATACCTGGCATGCAGAGGGTGTAACCACAAATACAAGGTTGTTAGAAATAAAAATAAAAAAATACAAATTATACACTCAGACTTAACTTCAGATGTGAAAATACAGTAAACCCCTATGAGAAAATAAACCTGTCTGTCATGTTTGTGGCATTAATAGTGATAAACCTGTACTGGGTTCCAGTAAATTACTGTTTGTAAAAAGATGGTATGTGTTAATGTGAGGATGACAATATTAGAGAGAAAACAAAAACATTTAGAGAAAATCACCTGATCTGGCCTTAACGGTAAGCTTTATCAAAAAGGAAAGTTTTAAGTATAACAAATCTTAAAAGTAGAGAGGTTATCTGTCTCCCAACAGCCAATACAAAAGAGAAGGTACACAAATTAACAAAGCCCTGTGTATAGGCTCTGATGAAAAACTGCAGGGATTTAGAGCATCACATGTCATAGACATTTATATTTAGTATGCATCTTTAGATGTTTCAGCATTATAAAATAGTAAATAGTTTTATAACAGCATTTGAAAAAAAAGTGTTTTCATTGGCCATGTTTGGCAAGACAGAGTATCTATGAGGTCATTATTATCATACGGAGTGTGTTTTGCCCCATTTTGGTGATTTTAGTAACACTGAGCATTTACTCGTGTGCCACTTTAATCG